TAAACTAAAAAGCTTAAGAGAATCATATTTATTCTGTTTCGGTTTTAAAAAAAGGATTACAAACAAAAACTTGTTTATTCATCCCTATCAATATGCGCATAACCAAATAACGAGATTGGTTGACTATTCGTTGTACAATCACTGATTTTATCATTGACAATATTTATAAGTTAAATAAATGTTCTAGTGAAATAAAAGTGTATTTCCTTGTTCTACAGACTTTATAAGTATAAAAATGTATTTGCATATGTTTATATACATACAAAACACACACACATATATATATATATATATATATATATATATATATATATATATGTTCCATTTTGTTTAATGTTATATGTGTGATTTACCCCTGTAAGATAAACAATAAAATGACAAATTTTGACTAATGCCTTTGTTGCGTGTTAAAAGCTATCAAATTCTAAGTTGAAAAGAGCAGAAAACGAATACAAGTATACACACATACATATTTACATTTTTCATTGGAAATAAACTTAATCTCATTGCATGAGATAAATTTTTGGGATAAAATTAATTTCTGTGATTTTTATTTTTAATACTTATAACTGTCAACTTCTACCTTCTTTTCTTTTTTTGAAACGAAAAGTTTTACAAAAGGAATTGATGTAAAAATAATCAAAATCAGAGTATAATTAATTTACCACTAAATTAAAACAACAAGATAATCTACTAGGAATGTTATGTTGTTGATATGATGAAATTTGAAGACAGATTTTAATAAGGAACGATATCAACTGGAGAACTGTAAAAATATGAGTAAAAATGGATAGCTGTTTTGGTTCTGATCTGGGATCAATGTTTAGTGTAACGTGGAGAGCGAATTATCTGTAGATAACTGATTTCATATTTAGTGACTTGTTTTTAACTTGTGACACTGTGAGAAGGTCATGATATGAGTTGGTAATTATTTCACTGTTCACATTCTTGACCTCCACTAATCAAAAACTTGTTATTATGACTTAGGAAATCTTGTTGCACGTAAATGATTAGACGGGACACAATTACTGTGTGGTATGGGGTTTGCGAAAATAAGTTAATTCTGAGTATATTTTTCATTAGCGATACGACAAAAAGAATATTATTTGGGTAATTTACATAACTCTTATAAGTTTTAAGCTTCGTATGAACTAAATGTTTTTTTTTCACTGATCTATGTGAGACATGTACAAAGTTTCTGATGAACAAAATCCAACCGAATAATGTGCTAATTACAGTAGATTACCTAGTTCAATTAAAGAACCATATCAATGAACTGTGATACCAGTTTTATTAAAAAAAATAAACCTATTTAAATGATAAATAAATGGTGATAGTTACTGCGTTATTTTTTAGACATGGTACGTGCAGTACCGAAACAGTTTCTAAACCTTCCAACCAGAATAAGAACATTAGAACAATCTGGCTATTTGAACAATAATAAAACATTTATGATTCATTTTATTCTATACATATATTCTAATAGTTGACTGTTTTATTGTAATAGTGAAATTCGAAATGCAAGATAAACTTTCTAGTTTTCATCTTGAAATTATGAATGAAATATTCAATTTCAAGCATTTCACTTTGCGTAAAGAAAGAACAGAGATCATAGCAGAATTATCTTCAATTGCTTAAAACCTAAAGAACAACTATCTAAATTTGTTCAATTTACTTTACTTATTTTTCAGGTCAATAAACGATGTAAATTTGTCAGTAGTTCATACGTATTTAAAGCAATCAAAACGACTTAAATTCCTGTTATTAGTTGAGAAATAAGATGTCAGAAGTTAGGTTTTTATCACAATTTCGATGAGCACTTTGCATAATTCACGTAACTTAATACTGTTTAGTGCTATCATCATCTTAGTAAGTGTTAGTGGCGTAGTAATGCTTCCACAATATAAGGACCAGTTAAAATAAAACTGGATATAGTGATACACAGAACAAAATATATACATTCTTTGTTAGTAGGTGTCCTAATCTTGAAACACACGACGCTTTATTATTGGACATGACTGTTATCCACACACCTTTAATTTCAACTACCACAGACAATAGTTAACATTCACCGCTTATACATTAAATGAATCCTGCTTTCACAAATATCTGTCTAAGATTGATAGATCATTCAGTCTTCGTGGATATTGGGTTACTTTTAGTGAAGAAATCCAGATTAATTAATTCAATTGTATTAGGTAGTGTTTGCCAGTCAATATGAATGAGCAACACATAGTAGAGAAATGCACACAACTTACACTCTTAAAGTATTATATCAAAATACCATCCGCGTGACATTTTTCGAAATCCTCTCGTAAGTTATCGTCTATTGTCACAAGTTTCGGAGTCTGTATAGACCTTTTGCATATGGTTTCTTACATTATATAATTATGATATCTGTAACTAAGATTGTAAATTTCAATGGTTTTTCGACTGCTATCAATTCTTAAAATAAATCAACTTGAATTAAACACTAGCAACCTCAGAACGAAATAGCTATTGTCTTTAAACTCAAATGTACTACAAGCATAAAATTGAGGCACACAACACTTTATTTTCATAATGATAATTTATTTATCAAGTATTTTGCCTGTAGTCATCAGTTAAGAAATAATGAATTCAATAATCACCGAAATGTCACCAAATTGCAGCTAATTAGGAACGGGAATCCTCAAGGCCAAAGAACACATTACGCCAAGGAATGGAGACAGAAATGAGAAAAATTGGACAGAACTGAAAAGAAAGGTTCAGGACAGAGTGGGTTGGAGAACGCTGGTCGGCGGCCTATGCTCGATTGGGAGTAACAGGCGTAAGTAAGAAACGGGATTCAGATAGCTGAAGGAAGCCAAGTAAGACCTCACATCATCTCAGTTCATTTTGTATATCGCAATTCACTGACAGAATACACCAGACCTCGAATATATTGCCAGTCGTCAAGCGTTCGTAATAATTAAAAAATTGATGATAACTCGGATATCAAGTTACATGCCATTTAATGAAACAGCTAGAAGGGTTACTGTTATGAGTTTTTGACTATAACCAATTATCCGTACTTAGCGAATTGCTATTTGGATATCAATTTATCTGGGTTTCAAAATGATATTTTATGTGCAAATCAGCAACGCACAATATTTTGGCATCCAAGGTTTTGAAGCAAAAATTTTGCGGGGCTCGGAAATACGATAAGACAGCCTACATCAAAGTACGTAAAGCAGAACCTCGAACCGTATCCAAACAGTTGACAGTTCAGTATTCACAAAATCCGTAGATTTGCCGCGAAGCAAACCATACAAATACATAAGGCTAAATAAGACTGAAAACATGACTAATCGATTATATTACATGAAGTTCATCGCATAAAACTAGATTTTAAAGTAATTAGTCTTATATCTATAAAAAATGGACTTTCTAAAATCTGAATTCATCTTTCGGATTTTATGCTCAGAAAGGAGGGCTAGGATGATTTCAAGTAATTCGGTGAAGGGATATATAATTTTTCAAGTTCAGAAATTTTAACCATATACTAGTTATTTATCACTTATAACCTAGTTAAATTACTTTTTATCATATGTAACTTTTGTCTATCTGCAAATAAATTTTTATAAAAATATATTTAGGCAGGTGTACGATTACTACAAAATGGCAAAGTCGTGTTACTTTCATGGTGTGAAAGTACGTTTTGGGCAACTGTAACTAATCAAGCTATTATTCAATTAAACAAAAATGATCAAATATGGTTGGAATGTAGAGATGAAGCTTATCGTTTACATGGACATATGTATAGCAGCCTATCTGGTTATCTTCTTTATCCACATGACATATAATCGTGACAACATGAGAATCTTTTTTTCTTCTATGTGTAACTTCTGTTTAGTTAAATGTTAATCATTCAAATAATTAATCAGTGGTATGATCAACAATCTTTTATCACATACTTATGCAACGAATTTTTGTTACCACATAATAACTACACTTTTATTGAACTCACTTTTGTGATGACGAATAAAATGAGTACATTAATCGACAAAAAATCTAATGAAGTATTAAATATTATACAGAATAATTAAGTGATAATACTACAAAGATGTGAGCCTTATGAATACACTGAAGAGAAACGAGTCTAGTATTTACATGTTTTGCATCAATCAAATATAAAATCACTTAAGTGGTTGTGTAACATCTTCACTCAAATAACCGTGGGATCTATAGTTTCATTCAAAAACGTTTGTAACTGTTCGAGTAGAAAGCAGAGTACTAAAAAGATTTGAAGTTTATATACCTATTTTTCAGGGGTAGATAAAATCCACAGAAAACTATACTATACTGAGAAGTCAATCAGCATAAAGTTAGAGACTTCAGGCATTTTGAACAAAATTTAAAAGTAGTGCCAATTTGTATCCAACTCATGAAGAATTTTGTAAAAAGTACCTTCCTTTATTGCACACAATTTAGAATTGATGCCATCAACAGTGAAAACAGCATAATGGGAAGAGGAACTACAAAAAGTGCTTAACCCTGATGCAGATATTATATGAAGAATAATTTTAATAATAATTGGTCCGTTCCTCTTTTTCTGAATTAAATCCAGTCACTACTGATGTACTGAATGACAAACACTCTTGAATCATATAAACTGATTGATGAAATAATTAAGAATTTTGTTTATCGAGTAGTAATCTCATAACACCATTTCAACGATCTTTCAATGATTCTGTACATAAATATTGTGATAGTGAGAAAGCACATGTACATGAATCGAAAGTCATGGACACAAACTGGTCTTTATCAAATGAATGAGTTTTATGGCGATAGAATTTCGATTTTGACAGTTGTTTACTCATAAGTATAAAGTCTTTATGCTATTTTCCGAGTTGACCGAAGTCGTCAGTATCGTATACTTTCATCATTTACACAAAAATTTTAAGTTGATTTATTTAAGATCCTTCAAATTAGTAAAACAACCTCCTTTAATGAAGGTAATAATGATCAAAATGTGAAATAAAGTAAATGATAGATATTTATTAAACTGTCTCTTATTTTAAGTAAACATTAAAAGTATTCTTAGATTCGTCAGTATGAGGTTAAATTATTTCAGGTATGATAAAATCACTAATCTATGATTGCCTACATTATAAAATCATTGACAGTAATTATTATTGTTGCAAGGGTAACAAACTTCAGAATGGGATGAATATAAAAACTGAAGACGTTTAATGCCTGTTATCTACCATTAAAAAGTGTAAACAATTCAGTAAATTGAACTGTGTTAATAAACTGCAGTAAATTATTGAATAAAATAATAGAATCTAAAACAGAATACACATAAACAATAAATAATTAAATTATATTGATAGACAAATAGCTGGTAACATTGAACACATGCATATTATGGAAAGCGAAGACACAGTTGCACGACTAAACTCACAGAAACAATCTTTTACAATCCTTAACACTTTTACATTAGACATGTAACGACAATTCGTCGTTGAAAAATCTTTTTCTGAATAAGCGAATATTTAAATACTTTAAAAAAAAAGAATGTGACTTATACAATAGATAAAAACTGTTTAACATTTTTTATACACAAATTAGGAAGCAAATGATGTTATTCAGACTATATTTAATTTTTTCATATCTGATGGTGATGATAAATACAACAAAGGAAAAAACATCACGGTTTACAATTCCTACAGGATAACACGACGTGTCAACCACCACATCAATAATGGTTGAATGAATGCAATCAGAAGTAGTAAATATAATCGGCGTTTATTACACTCAGATGGATATGCTTCAACATGTGGAAGGATTTTGAGTTTGAGGCTTCTTATCTGAAAATAATTAAAATGAAAGAAAAAACGGTAAATTTACAAACTGCAACAGACAGTGGTATAGGAAGAAGAGGATAAAATGAGTGCCTGGAAAAAATATATTCGTAGCTTAGTATTTGGTGTTTTCCCACGTGAATATTTAATTATGAACCACTTATTCTTACGCTTAATGGATCACTTACTTACGCCTGTTAGGGTTCATGGAGCACTGACTGCCGAACAAAATTCCGTAACTAACTTTGTCCTGGGCTCTGCTTCCCAATTTTCGTCAATCGCTATTCATTCCCTTCATGTTTACCTCAGATTCCCTGGCGCAATGTGTTCTTTGATCTGCCTCTTTTCCTTTTACCTTGAAAATAACGAGTTATCACTTGCCTCGTGATCCAGTTTGATGAGTTCCTCGGTGTATGTCCTATCCACCTCCAACGTCTATTCTTAACTTACTCTTCAACTAAAGGTCGATTTGTTCTTTGTCACAGTCGATTGTTGCTAATGATGTTCGACCGACGGATATGGAGTATCTTTCAAACACAATTGTTCATAGATGGCTGTACTCTTTTGATGGTGGTTGTAGTAATGCTCTCCTTGTACAATAGAACTTTCTCGACGTATACATTAAAAAATCATAAATTCAGTGTTGAATGACAGTTCTTTTTAGTCCCAGAATAAATAAATTCATACATGCTTAAGTTGTATAAGTGTTTGGAGGTTGATAATTGACCTCTCAGTTAGTCAATCAAACGCAGAGCAGAACTGACACAAGTTCATTGGTTCAAGTTGTCGTACTGCATTAGTACAATTTGACAGAATTGCCAAGACGAATACTAAAGTAATAAAAGTAGTGACAGTATTAGTGCTAACAGAAAAGGTTAGGGATAAGAGATACGATTCTAGAAAATATGGAATTATAGGATGATAAAAAAAGTTTGAGATGGTTTAGAAATTTAAAATTTAAGGAAAGACGAAGAGTGAATGCATCTCAGCCATGTTATCTCAAGTTTTTAACGACTACTTTCGATAACTCCGCGGACCCTCACTACTCATTTCAACGATCAATCGCTCCACTTACTAACTTTGGTTTGGCCATCTCCAGATTTCTTTTACATTACTTCGACTACAGACAAATTTTTACGTCAAGGTAGGTGGTTCAGCGTACATAATACATATTCCAATCATTTCAGTTGGGGGAAGATTCGCTATTTCAACAATCGATTTCCCATCCTTAACTAGTACCCTAAGCCTAAAATAAACGTTGCTCACTCGGCAGCCCAAGCATACACGAACAATGTTTCAGAGGTACTTATGACTAAATACCAGTAACCAACGTATATTCTCTATTTTGAAGACCATTTTTCACAGCCACAAATTAAAACAAAGCGAACTATTGACCGGTATACATATTCTCTACTTGGAAGATGAATATCTCGCCTGCGCTAAAAGCGGCCGAAGTTGAGAAAATATCACAAAAATTTCTGAATCCACGACGAGATTTCATCAGGCACCAACCCAAAATAAGTTGAGTGATCTACACGCGCAACCCCTTTGCTTCTAATCGTTTGATGCAGACTAGTCTTAAAACAACATCTTGTATTTAGCACGGGAGAGAAATGCATCCGAAAAGTGCTTGAATTTTTGCTCAAGTTCGTCAGAAGACTATGTATTTTATATTTGACTTTTGAGTACTAAACGTTTTTAAATTGATTAAACAGATAAAATGACGTATTCACTTAAAAATTCAAAAACCGTAGTTTTGGCTTTGCTGGTTTCCTTTAAATGAGTTGATGTCGTGCAGCAAATGGAAACGATGCACATACATACCTTATCATGTGGCATGTGTAAAAGGTTTGCCTAGCATTCATTTATATGGATTTACAAGTTGTGACATGACTAGATACTGTTATATAAAATCTCAAGAACAACGCATCGTGACGGTTAGGAAGAGTAAGTTCTAATATTAAAAAAAAACCAATTTTCCTTTTTAAATTGTTTAAAACCACAGAAATATAATTTTTGCTAGTTTCAATCATGTTTAATTTTATTCAAATCATTATTAATAGTAAGTGCAAGTTAATGTTGGTAGATTAATAAGAGTAGCACATTATAATAAGACTTTATCCGCTGGAGATCAATAGAAGAGATTATTACAACAAAAACTTTAACACAAAAATCTAAAAGTGAACTCACGAGGAAAAATGCCAATGCTAAACTAGTATACAGTAAACTAAAATAATAACCTGGTCGATCCAAACCAATGTAACTAATCAATACAACTATCATGCTATAAAAAAAAAATAGAACAGTTGTAAACAACGAGTGAGGACACTGTAAAATGATCGGTAACATTACTTCATACCACGAATTCATATTAAACAGATATTATTAGACAGATTTAGGTAATTTAAACAAACGACAGTGATTTTGATTGTTTGAAGACAAACTTAATGAACTTTGAAAACAATTGGTCTCACGTTCATCCCGAGAACATAAAAGCTAGCAAGATTTCGATGAGAAACTGAGGAAACTTACTGGTAATTTCCACAAGACAAACAAATGTTGAGTTATCATATACCTACTGCAAAACACTGATAATTCATAATGAAATACTTGTTTTCCAAACTACTTCGTTTGATTATATAAATATATTAATGTACACATTTTGCCGACATCTTAAAGTATGAGTTTTGCCAATAAGTCAGTCCTCTTGAATGAAAGAATACTAAGGGTTCAAAATCCACAACCAACTTGAGATTACTAAAACAGTGATTTAACTATCAAAGCAATAGATACGCGTGTATATTGTATCCGAAATGAGAATAGTAAGCACCATTACGTTTAACTGCAATCATCTTTACAATTATGTTCACTTTTAGTACTAAGATATTAATATTAGTAGTGGACCTCGGGTGTCTTTTTCAATAACTTCGATAATCTTAAATTTGAAATGTCAAAATAAATTTTATGTATACCGATTTAACAATACAAGTTTAGCCGTGTTTTTTTTAATTATAAGTCAACAGAAAAGACGAGTGTTAGTTGTCATAAAATGAATATTTGTAAATGAATATCACCTAGTGAAATTCCTATAATCTCTGAGTAGTATGATGAACAATAAATGCAACATTTTCTAAAATAATACTTACTAACCAAGCAAAATTTCATGTAATGGGGATTTCATAAGTGTATGAAGATTGTTATTAAACATTCAAACAACCACATAGACTATCTAAATGTTGCTGTTTCGCCGATAGGGGTTTAAATGAGCTACACGTGATTTCGGTTACTGGCTAATGTATCTGTATTTTTCAGGGCGTTGAGACAATGGGATATCTTAGTGTACTATTAAAACAAACAACTTGTTAAAAGTTCATTATTAAATTCTATGATTATTAACAGAGAAATATAAACACGATTAGTTATAAATAAATTGAAGTACTAACCTGACAAATTTATAACCGCAATAGGCAACTATATCTAAATAAGAAATATTGTTCTGAATATTGAGGATATAGATTGCAAACAGAGATAATAAAACTTCAAGCAATAACCAGCCAAAAGCTTCACTAGATAAAATCCCAAGGTACTCTGGTGAAAAACGACCTTGAAATCCAAATATAACACCACTCAGAAGTATGTATGTGATAGTAGCCATTAAAGGAATATACAAATCAGGAGCATTGATATCATCACCCGGAGGAACAGGTCCAGCAGGATCATAATTTACACCCCATTTCTATTAACAAGTGAAAATATTTAAAAAACAGTATAAACGAATAAGTTGCATAGATGCAATAATGAAACCGATCAACAAAGAGTGAATAAAATGTTTAGTTGCATACACAATTTGTTGCAACTCAGTAAATAAGTACATATAATCTATTTTGTTATGAGCCATTTTTTGAGGTCTGGTAACATTATGTTGAGTTATAGAGACAAATGAAAATGGATATCAGGTGTTACAATGATCGACTTTAATTAATTACATTCGCTGAATACAAATACTGATTCTCACTTCTTTGAGAAATTAAGCCACTTACACTACCTTCGTTTTCTGATATGATTCATGCTGAAAGCCCGACCATATTTCGTTTGTTTCTACGCTGAGTTTTTATACTCTGACAATGAAGTAGAAGCAACTGAATATAGTATAGGTTTTTTAACCATATTATTTATTAAATGTTTCACAATAATATCGGGTACTATATATTATTAGCAAGCAACACCATAACTTCGGATAAATGCGGTCAAAAGTATTCAAACTTTGTCTCACAGATTAAGTCTAACGTTACAAATGTGACTATACGTCCCATGGTTAACGATTTTAAACCATAAGAACATCAAGACTTTGACGGCCAATATGATTTCATACATGCACACCTAAGTGAAATGCTGGCTACGTGGTTAATATGTTCGACTTATAGTCACAAAGTCTCAGGTTTGAACCTCGTCTAACCTCCCTTTGGTCAACATACGTTTAGGCTGCCTCCGAACATTATCGTGTTCAGGACCAGACGGAATTAGTTTTCGAGCATCTGTTAATTCAATGGATGCCGGTGAAATCAACTGATTCTTCTTAACCTTTTGGTTTAAGTTGAGAGTAGATATCACTGCGGTGAGGTAATCACCAACATTGAGGAGCAACGAAACAGGTGGGTAGAACACTCCAAAGAACTCTTGAAGCGACCAGCTCCACTGAACCCACCCAACATCGAAGCAGCACCCACGGACCTCCCAATCGATGTTGGCCCACCAACAATTGAAGAAATCAGCATGGCCATCAGGCAAATCAAGAGTGGCAAAGCAACAGGACCAGACAACATTCCAGCAGAGGCACTAAAAGCAGACGTAGCGGCAACTGCAAAGATACTCCACATTCTCTTCAATAAGATTTGGGATGAGGAACAAGTACCAATAGACTGGAAAGAAGGACTTCTGATCAAAATACCGAAGGAAGGCGATCTCAGCAAGTGTGATAACTACAGGGGCATCACTCTTCTCTCAATACCGGGAAACGTCTTCAACAGGGTATTGTTAAACAGGATGAAGGACTGCGTAGACGCCCAACTTCGTGACCAACAGGCAGGATTCCGTAAGGATAGATCATGTACAGACCAAATCGCAACTCTACGGATCATTGTGGAACAATAAATTGAATGGAATTCATCACTCTACATCAACTTCATTGACTACGAAAAGGCATTTGATAGCGTGGACAGAACAACACTATGGAAGCTTCTTCGACACTACGGCGTGCCTCAGAAGATAGTCACTATCATACAGAATTCCTATGATGGATTACACTGCAAAATCGTGCATGGAGGACAGGTCATAGACTAGTTCGAGGTAAAGACCGGTGTCAGGCAAGGTTGCTTACTCTCACCCTTTCTCTTTCTCCTAGTGATCAATCGGATCATGAAGACGTCAACATCTGAAGGGAAACGCGGGATACAATGGACATCTAGGATGCAGTTGGACGATATAGACTTCGCAGATGATCTGGCCCTTCTATCTCAAACGCAACAACAAATGCAGGAGAGGACGAAAAGTGTGGCAGCAGCCTCAGCAGCAGTAAGCCTCAATATACACAAAGGAAAAGCAAGATTCTCCGATACAACACAGTATGCAACAATCCAATCACAATTGACGGAGAAGATTTGGAAGATGTAAAAACTTTTACATATCTCGGCAGCATCATTGATGAACAGGGTGGATCTGATGCAGATGCGAAGGCGCGGATCGGTAAAGCAAGAGCAGCATATTTGCAACTGAGGAACATCTGGAACTCAAAGCAACTGGCAACCAACACCAAGGTCAGGATTTTCAATACAAATGTCAAGACAGTTCTACTGTATGGGGCAGAAACCTGGAGAACTACGAAAGCCATCATCCAGAAAATACAGGTGTTTATTAACAGTTGTCTACGCAAAATACTTCAGATCCGTTGGCCGGACACTATTAGCAACAGCCTACTGTGGGCGAGAACAAACCAGATCCCAGTGGAGGAAGAAATCAGGAAGAAGCTCTGGAAGTGGATAGGACACACATTGAGGAAAGCACCCAACTGCGTCACAAGACAAGCCCTCACATGGAATCCTGAAGGCCAATGGAGAAGGGGAAGACCAAAGAACACATTACGCAGGGAAATGGAGATAGACATGAGAAAAATGAACAAGAATTGGATGGAACTAGAAAAGAAGGCCCAGGACAGAGTGGGTTAAAGAATGCTGGTCAGCGGCCTATGCTCCATTGGGAGTAACAGGCATAAGTAAGTAAGTAAGATATCACTGCTGTATCCACAGCTTTTTGGATATAATGCTAAGATAATTTGGGATGGATATCACTTTCATAGTTAATTAACTTGCTCCCCAGTTGTTTCTGAAATATATTCATAACTTTTTCAGCATTAGGTTGAGCTCTAAGGGGTTTTCGTGAGGTGAAGTTTCTACGCCCAGTAAGATGCAAACAAATACGTGCTAGAATTAAAGCGTAATCCGAGTATGCACATGTGCTGCAGAATGAGGGAGTCTTCAATCGAGCACCTGCTACAATGGCTTATGGCACTGTGTTCCGTTTGAGTCCATTGATGAACCGATTGTAGAGGTCGCCACATAAAACGATATATCTCCTTATGTTTAAAGTTGATTTTTGCCAGAAATTGGCAGTTGCCCGTGCATAGTTGTAACAGTCGGTCGTCATTATCTGTTCACTAGGCCGCAACGCTGTAAGATTCGCCTAAGTGACTTTTAGTTTGTCCTAGTTTACCTAACTGTCAAAGCGATGAAAAAGGCAGCGGCTGCAGGTAACACAAAACAGCTTCTTAGTCTAATAAAGAACTGGAACTAAAAAGTCAAATGTGAGTGAGGCGACCTAGGGAAAAGATGACACTTTTATCTGCTCTCAGCCCAGACGTTTAGAATGATGGACGGAACACTTTAGAGAACAATTTAGGTGGCCTTCAGCCACTCTACGACTACCCACCATTTCCAGGCAGCTTGAATGGCACTTTGAAGTAGGTCCCCCGAATCTAGCTGAAGTTCAAAAAGCTATACTTAATCTGAAACGAGGAAGGGCAGCTGGTTCAGATGGATTGGCTCCAAAGGTCTTTAAGCATAGTGGTCCAATTTTAGCGATTAGGCTGGCTAATATTCTAGCTAAAATCTGGGTGTTGGACGTAATCCTGTCTGATTGATCGCAATCAATGATTGTCCCAATATATAAGGGTCAAAATCATCATGTGATAACCATAAAGGGGTAAGCATTCTTGTATCAATATTTGTGTTCAAATAAATAAATAAATCCCGACCGTTGTTGCTACCTTGACGTGGTGGTCGGGCTTGCCTATCGTGATGAAGCAACCGAGCTATACTGGCTGGAACAACCGTTCCTCAAGGTCCTACCATGTCAGACAGGTCGGTTGAAGAGCGGTAAGACTAAAAGCAACAAACCCAAGGTCCGAAGGCGAAGTCGTACTGCTGACTGTACAGAGGTGTGACAGCAGTAAGGTGTTTCCTTCAGACAACCAGCATGACAGCGATGCTGCCTTCCCACAAGGAGGGGTTGGGTTAGAAAAGGTCGACCCTAAAAATGCACACCTCTCCTTACCTCACGGATTTCCGTCTCCGGTGGTAAGGCCCTTTGAAGAACGGAGCTAACATGTCGAAAACCTTCCACGAAAAGGCCGTGCGCGACCGGCCTCAAGCAGTTGTCCCTTGGGCACTGCGGTCACGCTCTCAGGTCACTGAGACCACCTCTAATCCAATTTCCTTTTCAGGTACCTCCAGAAGAACCCTTCCACGGTGTGGGCAACCGGGAAGTGATAACCGCCCTCATACCTCTAACAACACCCAAGACCACTGTATTCATAATCAACCTTCCTCTTCAATTCCTATTATTCCTCCTACATCGACTTTCAACCCTAAACTTCCTCCTTCGGCTTCCTCCTCAAGTGTCACCATAGCCAACGATTCTAGTGCTCAAAACTCTGTCCCAGGTCTACTGAAACCTCGCTCCAAACTACACATTGGAGCTTTCAACGTACGCACTCTATGTCAAATCGGTCAACAGGCTTCCTTCGCTAAAACCCTAGAGTCTCTTTCCATTGATGTATGCTGTGTCTCTGAAACACGCATACAGGATCCCAGTGTGGTCATTCACTTGACCTCACCTCGGCAAAACGGAGAGCCAACGAGATACACCCTTCGTGTATCTGGTGACCCGATGGCCAGTTCTCGTGGACTGGCAGGTGTAGGCATAGCACTAAGCATGAGGGCCGAACAAGCACTGCTAGAGTGGATCCCCGTCAACAGTCGTCTATGTGCTGTTCGGCTGAACGGCTACGTAAGAACTCGGAAGGATAGGGACACACGTCGTCGCCTTTTCGTCGTTTCTGCCTACGCTCCCACTGACTGCAGCTCAGATGAAGTGAAAGATGAATTTTACAGAAAGCTTTCTGAACTTCTTCAGAAAGCTAGACGCTCAGACATAGTACTCGTAGCAGGTGATTTTAATGCTCAGATAGGTAGCTTAAACCAAACAGAAAGGCATTTAGGTGGATATTTTAGTATTCCGACACAGCGAACAGATAATGGTGATCGTCTGCTGCAGCTGTGCTCAGACAATCGTTTATTTTTAGCAAACACAAATTTTAAGCATAAGGAGAGACATCGTCTAACATGGCGACCCCCTACACCAAACCAACGATGGACTCAAATAGACCATATTGCCATCAGTCATCGTTGGAGAGGGTCGGTAGAAGATTGTCGCTCATTCTGGGGTACCTGCTTGGACTCCGACCATGCCCTAATACGGGCACGCATCTGCTTGCGCCTCACTGGACGCAAAAAAGCCACATTAAAAAGACCCGTCAGAACTGAGTTGAGTAACGAGAAAACCAAAAGTAGGTTCCAGGAACAACTGAGGTCACACTTAGGTAGTTGTGAAGACGAGGCTGACCCAGATGTTGCTTGGAAGGGCATACAATCAGCTGTGGAAACAGCAGTGACATCTATTAGTGACTTAAACCACAGAGTTGCAAGGAACCAGTGGATTTCTTCAAGGTCTGTCACACTGATGGATTCTCGCAAACTCGTCCCATCAGGTTCTGAACATGATGAAGAGCGAAAACAAATCAGATCTAGGTTAAGAAAAAGTCTAAGGAACGACCGTGAGCAGTGGTGGGTAACGAAAGCAAAAGAGATGGAAAAGGCGGCGACTATAGGGAACACAAGACAGCTTTACAGACTAATAAAAGAAACTGGAATTAATAAGTCAAGTGTAAGTGAGATTATTTCGGAAAAAGATGATACTCTCATCTGCTCCCAGTCCAGACGTTTAGAACGATGGGTGGAACATTTTAGAGAACAGTTCAGCTGGCCTTCAGCTACTCTACAACTACCCTCCATTCCCAGACAATGTGAATGGAACATTGAAGTAGGTCCCCCAACTCTTGCTGAAGTTCAAAAGGCTATAGTTAATCTGAAACGAGGAAGGGCAGCTGGTCCAGATGGATTGGCTCCAGAGGTCTTTAAGGATGGTGGTCCAATTTTAGCGATTAGGTTGACTAATATTTTAGCTAAGATCTGGGAGTTAGACGTTATTCCATCTGACTGGGATTAGTTTAACTAATATAGTATCTAAAATACTAGCCTCGATAATTATCAGACACTTAACTAAGACTCGTGAACTGCAAACACGAGAGAATCAAGCTGGCTTCAGACCTGGTCGTGGCTGCATCGACCACATATTCACCATTCGTCAGGTTCTAGAACACAGGCATACCTATCGGCGTCCGATGATGGTGGTCTTTCTTGACTTAAAAGCAGCGTTTGACTCTGTAGACCGCGAGACTCTGTGGCAATGTCTGTCATTGAAAGGCGTACCTCAGAAGTACATAAACCTTGTGAAGGCTCTTTACTCGAACACTACTAGTCGAGTCAGGGCTTATAGCGAACTGTCATCTACTTTTGCAACTTCAAGTGGTGTCCGTCAAGGCTGTCCACTTTCTCCATTTTTGTTTAACTTCATCATAGACCTATTGATGGAAATAACACTCTTGTCGACTGAATTCTCGGGTATTGATCTCCTTCCAGGAGGTCCACTTATCGACTTAGAATACGCAGATGACATAGTCCTGTTTGGTGAAGACGCTGACAAAATGCAGAGTCTTCTGGTAGCACTAAGCAACAATGCCAGAATGTTTGGGATGCGCTTCTCTCCCTCTAAATGCAAGTTGTTGCTTCAGGACTGGTTTGCGTCAACACCTGAACTAAGGATAGGGAGTGAAGTAGTCGAACGCGTCGACAACTTCACTTATCTTGGAAGTCTGATCAGCCCTAATGGGTTGGTGTCTGACGAAATCTCAGCACGGATTCGAAAAGCTCGTTTGGCTTTTGCCAACTTACGTCACCTTTGGCGGAGGCGAGATATCCGTCTATCAATAAAAGGACGAGTATACTGCGCGGCAGTCCGTTCTGTCTTACTTTACGGCAGCGAAACATGGCCTTTAAGAGTAGAAGACACCCGTAAGCTACAAGTATTTGACCACAGATGCTTTAGAAATATTGCTGGCATCTGCTGGGATCACCGGGTAAGTAATAGTGAGGTTAGACGTAGGGTATTAGGGAATGATGGTAAATCAGTTGATGAGGTTATGAATCTTCATCGACTGAGATGGTTGGGCCACGTATTACGTATGCCTGAACACCGATTACCACGACGTGCAATGCTAACCGGTTTTCGGGATGGTTGGAAGAAAGTTAGGGGCGGTCAAACCAAAACGTGGCATCAGTGCTTGAAGTCACTAACTTCTAGTCTTAGCCATGTTGGTAGATGCAGACTACTTGGTTGGGGTCCGCGTGACTTTCGTAACCAATGGTTGGAGACTCTTGGTGACATGGCTCAGAATCGATCACAATGGCGTCGGTGTATACACTCTTTGTCTTCCCTTAAACTAAGAGATTAAAATCACTTCATATCTTTCTTTCTACGAACTAATTCTTCCTTCCTATACTATATCCTTATTGCAACCTTTGACCTAACCACTCCTATGAATCCGGTGTTCATCTTGTTGTGCTAATGAGGTATGGCAACCTGGACCGATGCACATATGTGCCTGGTCCTACGTTGTAGCTGACTGACTGACTGAAATAAATAAATAGGGTTAATTTGACTAATGTAGCATCTAAAACGTAGACTCAATTATTATCGGGCGCCTAACAAAGACTAGTGAACTAAAAACACAAGAAAATCAGGATGGTCCTAGACCTGGTCGTGGCTGCATCAACCACATATTCACCATTCACCAGGTTTCAGAACACCGGAATGCTCATCGGCGTCCTACAATGATAGTTTTTCATGACTTAAAAGCAGTATTTGACTCTGTAGACCGAAAGGTTTTCTGGTAGTGTCTGTCACTGAAAGGTGCACCTCAGAAGTATATAAACCATGTGAAGGCTCTTTTCTCGAACACTATCAATCGAGTCAGAGCTTATGGCGAACTTTCGTCTGATTTCGCAACCACAAGTGGTGTCCATCAAGGCTGTCCACTATCGCTATTTTTGTTTAACCTCATCATCCCTCAGGATCCCGGAGCCCATGTACACCATTAGTTTGGAATCAGGGTTTTTCAACTTTTCTAGGTAGAATCTCTGTGTCCACCAACCCGGTTAAAGAGCCAGACATTCGCTTTTCGTCCTCTCAATTTCGTGAAAAACACCCCTGCCACGAGAAGGAAATGAGTAGGACTTTCCTGGTAGTGGTTATATGCATGTGGCCATGTGAAAGCATTTCGAGAGGGAGAGTTGACTCTCCCCACTCACGGCCGTACCAGGGCACTTAAAGTCACCATTGAAGTGACCGCTTCCATAAATTTGGCGTTCACCTTATTGTGCTAATAAGGTGTGGCAATTTGGACCGATGCATGCATGTGCCTGGTCCAACGTTGTAGCTGACTGGTTGAGTTTTAAAATCACACGCCACTATTACTACATCGGAGCGTCTAGCTTTTCGGAATGTTAGATAGCTTCTCATAAAATTCATCCTGAGCTTAACCCAAACTACAATTAGTGGGATCGTAGAGAGAGACAACAAAAAAGCATCGGCGTGTGTCATTATATTTTCGAGCTCTTACTGTCTCTTTTAGTTGCGCAAACAACTGTCTATTGGAATCTAGTCTGGCATAATCTGTTCTGTTCGTGAACTTAATTAAGTATTAGGTAAGGAAATATGAAAGTTCTGAAATGAGGTAGCTTAGTACTGATAGCAACGTTGTGCATGCATCTTCTCATGGGCTATCCTTAGATCCCGAGTTCCAAAATTATTTTAGCCCTAATTCATAGATGTAAATTTATAATAATATTCTCTAGACGTTAAGTCTTTACTGGTATTATTATCACTACGAACACGTCTGCTACTTAGGAATTCATCTCAATAATTTCATATCGCTGTGTTGTGGTTACTTGGACCGATATACATGTGTACCATGGTGCACGTTTCGTATGACTGACTAGCCAACTGACGATAAGCAAGAAGCAGAATGTTTTATGGGTTATTAATAGCATGTTGTTGATCGTAATTACTGTAAGCAAAACAAAAAAGAAATAACTTTTACTTATCAATGTTTCGGATACGATCTGTATTACGAGTAAACGTTTGCACAACTTGAATTTCATCCTACATAAGTTGTACTGAATGATAGCGCGAAAACGTTTTCTTATGAAAAAGTAATGAGATAAAGTGCTTGAGAAACTCCTGAATACGGTCACTACTTATCTCTACGTCTACTGCAGACAAGTCATACTCCGAGATATCAAAAATATTGAGACAAAAAGTCAACAAGAAATCAACTGATTTATACTAGAAAGTCACAAATAAAATGGATATAAAACGTTAGCTCATGACGAAGCTGTCCTCCAAGGAAAAATAATTTGATTTAATCTAGCCTACACCTTCCAAATGAATACTTGAATTTCATAGTAACTGCTTTGAAATGTCAGATATTTAACGTAAGACGAAAGTCAATTCTCGGAAGCAATATTACTAATCATAAATAGAGTGTAGCTTCCATCAAAATACAAAATAAACTGGAACAGTGCTTACTGTATGAGCAAACGGGAACAAGATTAGCCCGACTTTTTTGGCAACGTATGAATTGTTGACAGAAAAGTAGTATTTTATGCGAAATCGATTAACGTATTGGTCAACCTGATAACAGTTAGTCCTAAAATAAAAGCTTACATTTTTGTGAACAAAGTTTGCACCTTCATCAAACATAGCTGAACCATAACGGACAGCTAAGTCGGGAATAAATTGGTTTTGAATAAAAGACATCCCAGTATTACCGTTCGTACGTGGTGCCGCAGGAACATATTCCTGACTACTAGGCTGGAAGTTGGCATAATAGGAAGCTAATACGACGTTAATATTATAATCAATAACAACATACTTTCTGGGTAGTTTGGAGGATAACCAGGATTGTGATAAGCGCACATGATTAACGCGTACACCGCGTCACACAGTTTAACCGCGCACTTATTACTTCGGAACCCTATTTTTAATAGAACGCCATTTTCGAACGAAAAATTATCAGTAAATGTTTATGAAATGAATAATAATCTGTATATTTTAAATCATTTGTTTGACTATTTGACTGTCATAACAACTTTAGAGCGCGGATAACGATGTCTAGCGTTAGCAATGAAGAGCAAGTTTTTAATGAAAGTGCACTTGAGAATGGTGATTTTGTGCTGAAGCCGAATAGATATGCGTTTGTCAGTGCCAAAGGCTTGTTACAGAGATGTAATGAGGGCGGTTTGAATATGTCAGTCCATGAACTGATTTTTAACTTATCCTGTCAAAATATTTTTTTAGTTATGACCATTTAGTTCAAATGCTGTGTAGCATTTTAAAAAAGAGTGGTGAAAACCCACTTGTAGAGTTGGAGAACTTTAGTCGCAAAATTAAAAAGTATAAATGTTCAGCGGACTTGCACTTATTGAGACGTGCAAAAGAGGTTTCTGCTGATCTTGACTTAGCGTTACGCCGTCAGCCATACTTCAAAGTTAGTTTTAAATAGTGAAAATTTAAATGCTTTTTCAAATTCATCAGGTCTCTTCCAAAGAAATTCGACGATCAGAAGTTTTACCTGATTTGTCTAAACTTTTCTTTGCTTTGGGCCAAGCAGGCATAGGTTTGTCTTATCATTTCAATAATAAGTTTTTGGGTAAGGCTTTTCTCAGGAAGAAGTTACTAACCTTTCATTATCGATTCGGTCGTTTCTAAAGAAAATTTCACCAACTTTTGTAAGGTTTTGGGGAAAATATTTAGGAACTTCCCGGAATTATTACGTTTTAGAGGTAGAACTGGAACCTGATGATAAGAATATTTATTCACCTGACACTCTCCCTAACCTGAAAGACAATGAAAGTACGGCACGATCAGATGTTCAACTCAGCGAAAGACTGGCAATTCTCGATATGGATCCGCTTCCGAAATCCGAATGGAAACCACAACCACCAGTACCACCAGAAGAACAAGGGAAAGGCACAAATCGAAAAACATACTTTGTTTGTAATGTTTTAGGTGACGATTGGGTCAGATTGCCCGATGTGACGCCAGAGCAGGTAAATTTTTCCAAACATGTTATATAAAAGTTAGTATATTTGTAGTTACTTCATCCATTTTTACGATTACACTCAATTAGAGATTGTTCAAAAACAGAAATGATACCAGACATTTATATTTTCGGATGAGGTGTAAGACAATCGTCTTTTCTGCAAGTGCCAATCACATATGTCATTTTCTGCATGCGTTGAGTTGAAAATTTAAAAGTGAAGGAACAGGACCAGTCATCAATGATTACTCAAATTGCAACTTTTATTTAAACATGGTATCACTTTCTTTTAGTGGTAGAACTCCATATGGCTTATGCAATGTTGTGTTTTGCACACATCTTACTCTCAAATGGTTCCAAAAGCTATTACTATTTACAGGAATTTTTTCGCAATTATTAAAGTTTAATATTCCTCGAGGCACAACTTTAATCTTAGCCATGAAACCGTGACTGTCACTTGTCATACTGCAAAGCTATCTCCCTTCAAATCTATTTTGTATGACAGGAAGTGGATGGACAAGTTCTTTTTAACAAATTCCTAGTCGGTCCCTCACACAAGTAGAACCCATTGCTGCCAATGAATAATTAGTGTCAAGAGCCATGTTACTGAGTAACCTAAGAAGTTTCCTTTATTCTAGGTTACAACCAATTTGAATAACAAGTGATCTATCAGGACTATAAGTTAATCAAAATTAATTGTAGTAACTATATTGCATGCATCTTTCAGCATTTCCTTTCAACAGTTAACAATTTTGTATCTTCAAATTTTATCCGTGCATGTTCATGATCAGTTAGGAATATGCCAGATCACTCCCTCAATAGATGTACTCTCGTGTTAGATTCATTCTTAGCCTGTTGCTAGTTTGTGCTTGAGAAAATAATTGTGTCTGGTTTTGGAACATTACTTCTTCAATGGTTGCCGGTACATCGGTATTAGTAATATAAATAAATACACGGGCTTGTTTGACAAATGCTTAATTTTGGAGTCAGATTAACTATCGAACCGTCTTACCAACTGCCGATTTACGAAATACATACAAAAGAATTATCGATGATAATAGCTTAAACGGCAAATCCAGACGTTGTTTACTTTACTGTTTGGCAAAACTAACAAATCATTGTACAATAGTCATTTCGTTCTCTTCAAAAAACTTGCCATTTTGAAATATTTGTCCCAACCGTCTATCAAATTTCATCTCTATAACGGAATTCTCTTCTCACTTCATTCTGAAATTTTGGTGGTTAAACTTTGTACACTGAGTAAAACAATAAATTCTCGCGGGTTAGACGGTTTCTGAAGACAACAATTCTCACTGATTATTGACGAAAGCTCACAAATTGCTTCGACTCAACGACATAAAAATTGACCATTCTTTTAATATCACTAACTGCTTGTGAATGTCCAAATGTCCAGTCCACTCAGCATTTTAATGGACAATAATAGATGCAGTGCAGATAAACTATAGGTGTGTTGTATATTTCGTATGTTGGAGTTAAATCACTTTACATGTGAATGCAACTAGAAAACTAACAAATCATGTGATCGAAACTATCTTTTTATTAATAAGTAGTATCAATTGTGAAGAAAAGTTTGTTTTTTCTAGTTTTACAATACTCGATAGACAAAATATTTCCTAAAAGTAGCAAATTTTAACTAGCGTTTGGGTGCTACGAATTTTTACCAAACTGTATTGTATAACAACTACAAGTGTGGTGTTATAAACCCTTAGATTGTCACCAGCCGGATGATAAAATACTTTTGTACGGGGGATTTGGAAGCGGAAATTAATACATTTCCAACTTTCCCTGGAGTCGAAAAAAATTTTCTCCGGGCACAAATCGCACGGATATCTGGATCAACTACAATTTCTCCAATAAATTATTACCAATTTAACGAAGATGAAGAAGAAGAACAAATTGAAGAAGATGCTTTGAGAGAAAATTTTATAGAAAATCCCGAATATGAGCCAATGACTATTTATGATTTGACTGACCCTACTTTAACTAATTGGGTTCATCATACAGCTTATATATTACCACAAGGTCGAACGGTTTGGTAAGTTTCCATTTTTTCACCGTATAAGTTTGCAAATGAATCTACCGGTTACTGACCAAATTTAAATTCTAGAAAAATAAATTAGCTTTGTGATTGCAGACGAATATTGAATTTATTGTTGACAACTACTTTTATTTTTGAGTTTAGTTTAACAATGATTCGTTACTAAACCACTCTGATATTGCCCAAAATGGAAAGACATGTAAAACAACACGTAATTTATTTTCAGAATAAAACAAAAACTATATACAAAATATGTGATAAGATATGTTCATATATATATGAGTAATTTTGCCAACAAGTTGTAACCAGTAAAATTGGAGTGTGGTTATCAAACTGAACTGCTTCTTGATGTACAAACTATGCTTGAGAAAAGACATGTTGACAACATTTGTGGCCGTTCGAGTCAAGCCATAAAGTACTTTGTGTGCTGGGGGAGCATACAGACTTGCGTGATTAAAGATAGTGGAAAAAGAGAAGAACTAAAATAAAGGTGAGTTGACGACCCAGTAAGAGCACACAATGCACTTACATTTGATAGCGAAAGTAATCAACAATAATGTGAGCTTCGGCTTAAGACAATCTTTGAACCGAAACTGGAAGCAAATCGTTCAAAAAGCTACACATTTTTCTTCTTCGAATATATTTGTATGTTATTAAAAGTCCAGTAAGTCAGTGAAAATGTTTTAATGAAAGTGCTACTAGTTACTCTACACTTTGCATGTAGAACAATACAATAATTTATTCTGAAATTAATTACTAAATACATGCTGATTCGTAAGCATTATCTGGATTATACGGTAAAGGGAATAGAGATAATATTCAGTGACTTCAAATTATTTGCATCGTAAGTAACTTGAATCAACCAAAGAAAATATAGGCGCACGTCAATCACAAGAAGAAATAATGTTGAATGTACTGAATAATACAGAGATTTGCAGATGTGTCCAAACGTACACTAGTAACGCAAAATAGACTAGGACTTCAAGACTGTAAAATACCGTGAACTCATGTGAGCACATTTCATTGGCATCATAAATAAAGCTTGTACCTGTGTATTAAATATTTGTCAGTCAAAACAAATACTTCAACACTTCCACATCTTTGAGTAGGAATGAATTCTTTCCATTTTTTAGTTCACTCAAATCAGTGAATGTACTTTTCTTGACTTTACTAAATCATCTAAGTGATAAGACATGTAAAATATATTTAAGTGGTTTTTACTTATTTACCCACACCTGTTAGGTTCCGTGGAGCACTGACTGCCGAACAAAATTCCGTAACTAACTTTGTCCTGGGCTCTGCTTCCCAATTTTCGTCAATCGCTATTCATTCCCTTCATGTTTACCTCAGATTCCCTGGCGCAATGTGTTCTTTGATCTGCCTCTTTTCCTTTTACCTTGAAAATAACGAGTTATCACTTGCCTCGTGATCCAGTTTGATGAGTTCCTCGGTGTATGTCCTATCCACCTCCAACGTCTATTCTTAACTTACTCTTCAACTAAAGGTCGATTTGTTCTTTGTCACAGTCGATTGTTGCTAATGATGTTCGACCGACGGATATGGAGTATCTTGCAAACACAATTGTTCATAGATGGCTGTACTCTTTTGATGGTGGTTGTAGTAATTCTCCAAGTTTGAGACATCATCATGAAGTTCATATAGACTTATATATATCATAACAAAGTTTCTGGAAAAATATTCCAACCAATCTTTCAGAATACTGTAGGTTACTGAATTAAAATAAGGTGCTTTGGTCTTTTATCAAGTGAATCAAGCTTACGTTTTGAAGAACCCTGAGCTGATTTGAAATACACCCACTTGAAAATTAAATTGTAGCATATATATTCCAAATTACCAAACAA